TGTATTATAGTACATGCACTGAATAAAACGCAATGACATACTGAGAGAAATGCAATGACATTTCAAAGAAAACTTCAACAGAACTGTGTAATCGATAGATTCTAAAATGAGTTGTTGGCATGGCATAGAACAAGGTGGATTATCTGACTTGATAGGAGCAGAGGTGCCTGTCCAGTGAGAGCTTTGAATTTGAGTTGCTGGAGAAGTGTTCCATCATTAAAAACAATCTGGAAAACATACACAAGGGGCTGGGGGTTGGGAGTACAAGATTGGATTCATTGCATTTGAAATGACAGCAAGACTTGCCAGTGAAATGGACTTTGGTCATACTGACTAAAGGTGACAATCTGAAGCCATTAGTTAGGGGATGGGAAGACTCAGTAGGGCCAGAGAACAACAGGGATAGACTGGAGGGACCTCTCTCTCTCTCTCTCTCTGTGTGTCTCTGTCTCTGTCTCTCCTCTCTCTCTCTCTCTCTGTCTCTCTCTCTCTGTGTGTGTGTGTGTGTGTGTGCGTGTATTTCTTTGACTTGCTTCCAAGACTTATTCCCAGCCAAGGGCTGGCAGAGAATTTAGTCCGGAATCATTAACTATAAAGGTATCTGTGGATCTTTGAAAGTTGTAAGTACTACTATTCTACTGCATGATCATTGCCAAGTTTGAATGTGAACAATCTCTTTTAGTGAAGGCGTTTATTGAAATATGTCTTTTCTTGGTTAGACCTTTTATAGGAAGATTGGATGGCTGCTTTTCTATTGTTGGCTCAATATTGTTGATATATTATTTTTATATTGCTGCCATGTATTTTCTAATTATTTCTGTCTTACTTTTAAGAAAATCTATACCTACCGCTATGAGAGATATTAATTTGCAATTCCTTATGTCCCTCATATTGATGTTAGCATAATGCTAGAGATTTAAAAGTATGACTTGGAAAGTGTTCTTGTATTTTCTAGGGAACTTTAGTTGGGATTGGCATTAACTTTTCCTTAAAATATTTGATAATTTTTTTAAGAGAAACCATTATGGACTAGAATTTTCTTTAGGAAGGCATTTCATTTGAGACCATTTTGAAAGTCTTTGTTCTCCTGAATGACTTTTATTGGCTTTTGTATTAATTTTTTATCTAAATTATTCCATTTTTTCCACTAAAAAGAACATGGTGTCATAAACTTTGAATGTCTGCTCAATATGATATGACCTTTGACCTTTCCCCTATATTTCATTTACATTCATTTTTTTTAAATCTCACCTGTTTCTTTTAGATTTAGTATATTTTGTGATTTAGCAGAGTTGGTGTTTTCTAGTATAGAAGAAGGTAGGAAAAGAACCCTCAAGTATCATGGCTGAAATTCTCACTAAATAAGAGAAGACATATAGGGTGAGGGTGGGGAAATACTGACAACTTGTAAAAATACCCTTGTTGGGAGCCCTATAGACAGGCAGATCTTCAGTCATTGTTGATCTGGATTAAATATATCAACAATAACACCATTTGGATAGCTAAGATACAAAGAAGTCTTCAAATAAACCTAAAAAGTGGGGAAGTCATCATGGTGGCTAGATTATTTTACATACCAATTTAATTTTAATAACATTCAACCATATTCACTAATGCTGAGACTGTCAGCTTCTTTTAGACAATGTTACTTAGCTCCAGAAGATTCCTCCTGTTTCATCCTGAATTCTGGGCCCACAGCTGAAAGCCACCATGTGCACTCCAGACTTCTAAACAATAATAGCTGCATAGATCTGTAATTCCAACTCTGTTGGAAGCTGAGGCAGGAGGATTACTAATTCAAATTCAATACTGGACTAGAGAATAAATTCAAAGTCAGCCTTGGCAACTTAAAAAATATAAAAAGAGGACTGGGAACATAATTCCATACTACAGTGCTTGCCTAGCATGTGGTACCACAAAATCTATCATGCATATATAGATAGTTCTTATTGGATTATTTATAACAGAAGAATGAAGGGATCTACATTTGTAACTAAGAGAAGCTTCTCCCAATTTCTCATAGCTAAATTCTCTGAGAAGCCAGAGAAAAGTAGCTGGTAGGAATTAGTCTTGGTGAGGAATAGATGAATGGAAACTTGGCAAGCAAGTTGGATATTTCATACAACTATGGTTTGGGAAACATTTGCAAGATCAGGATAATTATTCTATACTTTGAACTGATTACATTTTTGTACTGCATTCATTTTGTTTATGAAATGAACTGTATGACTAATGTAATGAAATATGGGCTGAGTCTGAAGGCACAGTTTCTCCCAATTCCTTCTTTCTGTAGGCATTGGGATCTCACTGAAAGATTCAAATTTATGTGATAGAAACCAGTAGACACATAGGCGTCATCATAGGATATGCCATTTAAATTCCTTTCAATATATAACCTAGTTCTCAGAATAAATGCTCATCCCTCATGTTTAGCACATATAGGTAATATTTTATGTAAAAGCTAATATAATGAGTTTCTACAGGCAGGGAAAATGAAAACAATACACTTTCCAACAGTGGTCATCACAGTGAAGAGGGACACAGACTACCGACTGTGGCTGACAGCATTTGAACGCTGTTGTTCCAATTTCCAACTAGATTATTCTGCACCCATTACTTCAGTGTTGTTTGCAAATGGGAAAATAATTCCATCTCATCTATTTGACATACTAGTGAACGAGTGAGCACATGTACCACACTGCAGCAGCACCTGGGGCATAATCTATTTATAGGTTGCAATTGTTATTACCAGGGTAGAGAAATGTTAGTTAGACTCTGTCAATAATCTGAGAGTTTCTTGTATTAAAAATGACTAGACCTTGGATGTCAAATTTCTACACATTTGGTAATTGTGCTAAAGTATACTAAGAATAAAATTGCCAAATGTCACTCAAGTGTTGCTCACATACATACTTAAAGACTTTTCTTGTGTGTTATGTTGTTTGAGTCCAGCACAGCAACAAATTCTTCAAATACAATTTATTATGGATTACAGTAATTATAATTATATTCTGGTATGTATATTCTAACACAATGTTTTTTTCAAAAAAATACATTAGATATACAAGTACACTATACATAAACCTCTGTATTTTGTGACAAAAACGAACACCTTTATTCTGATCCTTTTCAGTGTAGTAAGTTATATCCTATTTAAAAGTCTACAACAGAAATACATGCTATCCCATTTTGCTAGTATTCTCAGAATGTGGCCTCTGGTATCCTACAAAGCCATTGACTAGGACAGCTGGGAGTCAGATTCCAGTCACCTGGTTCCAAGCTCATGCTGTCCACACTGTTCTTGTCTACCTCTCAGAAATGATCCACAAAACCAGAATTTTTTCAGTTGGTCAATAGCTTATAATTTAACAATTTCTTTGCCTATTTTCTCATTGCATTTCATTGTAATAAGTATGTGCTGTTTAAAGTTTGCATTGGAATTACCTGTGACTCCCCTAGGCGTTCTGGCTTCCTGAATAAAGGGATGCTGTAAGCCATAGAAAAGTGGAAAGTGCTGATCTTGGGGCGGGTTCTGGCTTTACTGCTGTCTATTCTGGGAAACAAGCTTTTGCTTGGTTCTGGTCTCTCCCTTTTCATTTATACCCCAGAAGAAGTCCATGCAGTGACCTCCAATAGTCATCATTTTGGACACTCGGTGAATAGTGTGGATCTTTACTGCTTCCCCCAGAAGGACCAGTTGCTTAAATGCAGACCAGTTTCCTAGATAACCAGCTGTTGGTTTGTAACAATCTAGACCATTAGGAAGCCCCAGGGTTTTAATATAAACAAACCAAGAATGGACTTTGAAACGTCCCCCACGTTTAAACGTCTTAAACTACTTTCATTATGTATTTAGAATGTCCTGATCTTTGTTTCCCCTCCCCAAACCAGGACTATTTCACAAACGCAAATAAAGAATTGGAAAAAGACGCCCAGCAAGATTACCACCTAGACTATGCCATGGAAAACAGCACACATACGGTGATTGAGTTTACCAGAGAACTGCACACATGTGATGCCAATGACAAGATAATCACGGTAAGAAGAGTGAGAGTGAATACTCTTATGGGTGGCATGTGTTTCACGTATGAGGCTATCGACAGAATAAAAGGAAGAGACACTGAAAACAATCAGTATCGACAAAGTCAAACAATCCTTGGGAAATTTTTGAACTTCTCTTTCCAAACTCCCACAATTTTAAAACCATAAATTTCACAGAAGGCATTTTTATGCAAATTTGACATATTTAAGCTCTCTTTTAAGTCAGTTGATTAAAAAAAATACAACTTAGCGTTTTCCCTATAAAATTTGAAAATAGATAATAAAGGTTTGAAGAAAGGAATTACATAACAGATAATCATGATGCTGAATCTGAGGATGTAACTCATCTGATTTGTAACCCATTTGGCTTTGTAAATTTCCGAAATCCAGATGAATAGTCAGTTGATTATAATCACCTATTGGCACGTTATATGAGGCTTCTTATTTTCAGATTTCACACAAAATTATCTTCATGAATATGCAAATTAAATATTTAGAGGAAATATACTCCTGTGGCACTTTCCATAGGTTGTCATTGCCATTTCATTTTAATGTAGACCAATAAAATTTTCTTTTTTTATTCAATCCACTAAAGCTTCAAAAAAGAGAATATAAAAAAATCTGAAGTCACTCTGATTACCCTTCAGCCTAAGGAGTGAAGGAGGAAGAACGCTAGTGAACAGATGAGCTTCACTTTTCATGTAGCACACAGTAAATTATAATTCAGTTGGAATGCTACTATAGTCATTGGACCTACAAAGAAGAAAGCAAAGAGAGCATTTAACACAGTGCTTTTCCAAATTATTTATTCTCAGAGTTCTTATTCCAAGGAGCTGGCAAAACACCCTTATCTGTGGAAGGATTTAGTCATTTTTCTATACTCCTGCAAACCTTTCCCATGCCACAACCCCTCAGGCAGTCTCCCTCTGTGGCTCAATCAGAGCCAGTTCCACTGGCTTCCCCTTGGAAATTCCCAGTATTCCATACTTAGTTCAGATTTGAGTTATACAATAAACAAGCCCAGACATAGAGCTGCCTTCTTCTGTATTTGAACCTCCTATAAATTCATAATTGAGTTAGTGCCTAGAGGAAAATCTGTTGTGGAAAAAAACAGTCTTGGGTAAGTTTAAAAAGTGCTTTTTATTTTAAAATTATTTTTAAGTTAGCATACAAAGTAGTGGATTTCATTACAGCATTTTGATACAAACATGCCATTATACTTTGTTGTATTTGTTCCCTGTGCTTCCAGTTCTTTCTGATTGGTTTCTTTCTTTCTCATGATAGTTTTTTTTCTGCTTTCTTATCTGTGTTTCCCTCTTCTTGAAGATCTCTTTGAGCTTACTCATAATCTCTATTCCAGTTTCATGACATGCAAACACACACATACATAAATGCACACATACATACAATTACAGTCTAGTTTCATGTACAAAAGAAAACATACAGATACTTTCTTAGTCTGGCTTATTTTAACATGGTGATTTTCAATTGCCTCAATTTCTCTTAAGAGTATTAAATTTTCCTTTTACAAACAGCTATGCACTGTTCCATTGTAAATATGTACTATATTTTCATTATCCATTTCTCAATTGATGGATGTCTAAGCTTATTCCATTTTGTAATAATTTGGAATACTAGACTAGAAATGAGCATGAATAGACAAGCAAGTATGTATGTAGTGGGCCATGGAGTCCTTTGGGATGTGTCCAGGACTGGAATAGCTGGTGGGAAAAAGCTCCATTCGACATCTTATGCAACCAAAAGAAGCCTCCATTGCCAGGAATGGATCACATTTAGTTGATTGGTTAGCCAAAGTGGTACCAAGGAACTCCCTAAGATCTCAAAGCTTATTTTGAAATTCTCTAACAGCAAAGGATTTAAAACACTTGTTTGTATTTATTGTTCATTTGCCTTTATCTTGAGAATAGATATTCTGTTGACTAGCCCATTTGTTGACTGTCTGATTTGGAGTTTTGGTAATTAAGGAGTTCCTTATGTACCATAGATAATATTCTCCTTTCTGATGAGTTGTTGGGAAAGACTTTTTTCCCTGGTATAGCCAGGCTTTCTCTTTATACCAGTGATTGTCTGTTTTGATGCAAAGATACTGTCTGTCATCCCATTTCTCAATTCTAGAGATTATTTCCAGTCCTATTTAAAAACAATCCTCACCTATGCCTATATGTTGAAGTATTTTACTTGTATTTTCCCTTAGCAGTTTCAAGTTTCAGGCCTTACAATAAAGTCTTATTTGATCCATTTTATATCAATTTTTGTTCAGGGTAAAATATTAGTTTTAGTTTTCTTCATGGGAAAATCCAGTTTCCTCAGAACTGTTTGTTGAAGACATTGTCTCTTCTGCAAGATGTGCTTTGAGGACATTGTTGGAAAGCTTCCTGGACTTATTTCTAGGTCTTCTACTGTATTCTATTGACCTATATGTCTGCTTCATAGTAATCCTGCTAACCCATGAGTATGGAAGATTTTTCCCATCCTTTAGTGACTTTTTCATTTCTTTCTTCAGTGTCTTAAAGTTTTCATTGTAGAGGTATTTCACCTATTTCTTTAGTTTTATTTCTGGTTTGAAGCCATTGAAAATGGTATTTTCCCTAATTTCCTACTGAACAAGTTCATTATTGATCTGTTGAAAAGCTACTGATTTTTGTAAATGAATTATGTATCCTGTTATATTGCCATATGTGTTTATCAGGTGTAATAATTTACTGGTGAAATCTTTAGGGAATCATTAAGAAATAGAATCATGTTATCAGCAAATAGCAATAAGTCAACTTTATTCAATCTTATTTAAATTACGTTATTTCCTCCCCTTAGTACTCTAAGAATTCATCACCACAGTGAATAAAATTTGAGAGGCACCTTTATCTCATTCTAGACTTTAGAGAACAAGCTCTCCATTTTCTATGTGCTATGCTTATTACTGTTTTGTTATATAAGGTCTTTATTTTGTTGAGATACGTTACTTCTATTCCTGGTTTCTTAAAGACTTTTATCAGGAAGAGTTATTGACCTTTATAGAAGGCCTATTTTGAATTTGTTGACATCATTAGATAATTTCTTAAGTCTATGTGCTGTATTGCATTTACTGACTTGAGTATATTGAGCCAACCTCACAATTCTGAAATGAGGTAAACTTACTTGTGGAGTATGATCTTTTTAATGTGTTCTTGAGTTCGATTTGCTAGTATTTTAATGAGAACTTTTGACTGTATTTTCATATGGAAATTGGTTTGGTATAATTTGTCAATGAATTAATCTAGTCACAAACTTTTCTTTGTTGTGAGACTTTGTATTATTATTTCAGTCTTGTTGGTTGTTATATGTCAGTTTAAGTTATTTATATCCTTTGAGTTTAACTTGGGTAGGTCACATGGTTGTGCGACACTATTCATGGGTAGATATGAACAAACATATACTCATCCTGATGAGAAAGCAACAACAAATCAGAGTAAAGATAGTAGCAATGTCCCACCTGGTGAATCAATGAGTTTTATTGGCAATACTAACAAGAGGCTGGGTGAGAGGTGACTCAGGCAGCTGACTACTAAGAGCTCACCTCAGCCTGGGCCACAGCTCATGAAAGGTGGGAAACTGGGACACTGTGCAACTTGCAGACCCCTCAACAGGTTGGACTCTTTCTTCTAAGCAGCTCGGTTGGTCTCTTCTCCTTTCAGTTAAATGAGTAGATGGGATGGGTACTGTGCCTCTTCTACACAGCTCAGCTTGTCTGAGTCCTTTCAATAGCTCAGATGGTCAGAAAAATATTCTTAGAGCCTCTGTTTGCCTGAGAGGGTCCCTCAGAAGTCTTTAGTGCTTCCTTACCCTGGGGAAGGAGGAGCCTAGAGTAAATGGTCAGTTTCAGGGACTTCCTGAAACTGTTGAGTAGTTTACTTTCTGGGTTTAAGGAGGTTACTTCCAGAATAGAACGTTTCACCTCACTTTAGAACATCCTATAGTTTAGTGAGTGTCCCTCAAAGACAGAGATTTTACTCTAGAGGAAATTTCTACACAACCCATGTATGTCTAGGAATTTACCATTTCTTCTAAATTTTTCATTGTTTTAGTATCAGTTTTCAAGGGATTCTCTAATGAGTCTTTGGCTTATATTTTGATAACATTTCCTCTCTTAATCTCCAATTTAATAATTTGAATATTCTTGCTCTATATTTTGATTAGTTTGGCTAGTATTTGATCATTTGTTGGGGATTAGAATAAGATTTTTGGATACTCTTAATATCTTTATTCTCATATCTTCATTATTATATGCTGCTTTAAGTAGAGTTTTTTAAATACAACCCAATGGTAAAGAGAGTGCCATTATGAGACATAATGTACCTATGTCTGATTACCAGGACAGCACAGTGAGAGTTATCTGGGCCTACCACCACGAAGATCCTGGAGATTCTGGTCCCAAGTACCATGACTCAAATCGAGGCACAAAGAGTCTGAGATTACTTAACCCTGAGAAAGCCAATGTGTTGTCTACAGCCTCACCATACTTTGATCTGGTAAATCAAGACGTAAGTTTCTTCTTTCTTTCTTTTTTTCCTTTTCTGTTTTAAAACAAAAAGATACATTAAGTGGAAGTGTATAAGGGATTGTTTACTTATGTTATTAAATTTAATGTCATGTCACCCGAATGTGATTTTTTTTTTATTTTCTTCCCCTTCTTCTTAAGACAGGTCCCCATTCCAAACAAAGGAACAACATACTGGTGCCAAATGTTTAAGATTCCTGCATTCCAGGAAAAGCATCATGTAATAAAGGTATGTGACTTTCATGTGGGCCAAATTTCATTGATGTTAATGAAGAAAATTTTTTTTCTTAAAATAAAAATAGCAAAAATATATAGAAATGATTTCTATGTATATGGAAGTTCTTGAGAAAGAAGAAACTATTTTATCTGATCCACACACTGTTTTCAGATATTGAAAGCTTGGATTATGGTTACTCTTTCAATTTTACACATCTAAGGTAAGTAGGCAATATTGCTGTTTTAAAAGTAGGCAATTGCTATTTTAAATAATATGTTTACAAATTGATAAATTCCAAGCAGTAAAAAGTGACGTTGTTGCTTACTTACATTGAGAAAATCTGCCTCATTGAGAATACTAGATGTGATAAAAAGACTTGTGTTTTCTTGAAGATTGGAAAAAAGATAATTAGTGAATTTCTACTGAGCTGATGAAAACAAAAAATTGGAGAAATTCAAAAGATATATAAGCTCAAATTGCCCTTGACACAAAGTTCTCTCTTTCCATTCCCTGGGATTGGGTCTCACAAAACTTTTAAATCTAATTGATGAATGAACACACCTCTGATTCTGACAATTATTGGCAGTTCCAAAGAGTTTGAAAATTAAGTCATATGTTCTCCAAAACCTCACAGGGCTATTATAGAATAAGATAGAGTTAAATATTGCCAAATGAATAGTGTGAACCCTTACAAAGCCTGATGTTGCTACCTTTCTGTTGGCATCCAGACTAAGTATGTAATGAAATAATATGGATACAAGAGATGAGCAAATGGTTAGATTGTGGCATCTAGATGACACGGGTATTTTGAACTGTTGGTTCTTCCTTTCATTAACTTTGTGCTCTCAGGTAAATGACTCTGAATAATAATGTAGCCACAGTTTTCTCTGCTATTAACAGTCTCAATTATAAGAGTATCCCTACCAAGCTCAGAGCATTTAAGCTGAGGTAGGAATGCTCTCACATCCTCTAGAGTAATGAACATACGTTGATTTCTAATATATTTCTAATGATTTCATCCAGTGGCCCAGATCTGCCTTGTTTCCAGGATGCTTCACAGCTGTGTAGGGTACAGGGAATGTATGAGTTAATAGATGGTCCTAAACATTTACAGGATATATTTTGCCAACAGTTGTCTTAGCAACCATACTATACACAGTGAATGCTTTGCTTACCTCTATAAGAAACTATTTTTGACTTCATGCATGTGTAAGTGAAAGATGGATTCAAATGTGTACTTAATGCAGGGCCAAAGTTCTTCACTCATGTCATTGAAATCTTTCTCAGAAAGTAAAATATTCACAAACACTGTGTCATTTACAGTAAACTTACAAGCTTCTGGCTTAAGAAACAGATGTAAAACTAGGTCCCAAAATAAAAGCAAATGCTTCACAAAATAGGACCTTTATTCCTTTTAAACCTTGATAGGTGGTAAAACCCTTAACTGCTTCCACTCACATGCTTCATTCTTGCCATTATTAATTCTAAATTCTGAGTTGAATGAAATAAAGATAATTGTGTCTATCTGTGGAGTGTCAGTATTGCTTGACATTTCACCGAGAATCCTTATATACTTTTTCTGTCACAAACATATCACAATAACACACAGATCAGGGGGCCTTGGAATAGGTACTATGGAATCCATCTATGCCTTTACTACATGTTTTGTCTCAGAAAGAATCAATGGCATGAAAGACTATACAAATATATATGAAACACAATCCTTCAACTAAGACAACAACCCACAGAATCAAGCCCTTCTGGAAACAGAGTCAAAATATTTGTGCTGTACAAGTTGCTTAGAGCCCATTTGTTCAAAAGATGCTTTACTTTTTAATAAATGTTATAACAAAGTTCCATTAATTCTGAAGTAAATTTCATAGGTCTAGAACTTTACTAGAGATATCATCTCATTTCCAGTCTCTGCCCTAGATGAGATGATCTCTAATATTTTAAGGCAATATGTAATCATCCCATCATACAAAGACTCATGATGTGTTTGAAAAGTTTGTTTGAAAAATTAGGTGCTTCTTATTTTTCCTAGTTCCTTGCCCAACAATGATACATGTTAAAAGAGCTCTGCCATGCTGGGGATATGGCTCTGTACTGGCTGAGAAGCCTGATAACCTCAAACATACAGAGTGAAAGGAGAGAACCAACTCACACAAGTTGTTCTTTAAGCTCTATATGGGAGTTATGTATACCTCTGTGGTACCTGCACATACCTTCCAACACACCATAAATAAACAAATAAATATGTCTTGGTTAGGGTTACTATTTCTGTAATGAAGCACCATTACTAAAAGCCAATTGTGAAGGAAAAGGTTTGAGTATACTCCCATGTCTGTTCATCATGGGAGGAAGTCAGGACAACATATATACATCACTCTAGAGGATATGAGCGCTTTCCTACCTCAGCTTAAATACTCCGAGTTTGGTAGGGAGAGTCTTATGATTGAGACTGTTTACAGCAGAGAAACCTGTGGCTACACTGTTCCTCACATTTACCTGAGAGAAATGTTAATGAAAGGAAGAACCAACAGTTCAAACCCATGTGTGGTCTAGATGCCATAATCTGACCATTTGTTCTTATCTTACATCCATGCCACTTAATGAGTGAATCAAAACGGTTTTTTTTTTTATTGATAACCATGACCAAACTGACACCTAGTCTATCAAATGATACATCATTTGCAACATTTATTGACAGATTGTTGATCATCTTGTTAGGTATCTGAGTTGTGGAGGCTTTTCCATCAGCCTTTCTAGGTACACAGGGGTTCCAAATAAAACCTACATTATTGAGCTGGGGAGATAACTCAGTACTGAGTTAGGGTGTGAAGAACTGGGTTTGATCTCCAGCACCCATGTGAAATGCCTGTGGTGTCCGTTCTGGAGAGACCAAGATAGGAGAATCCATGGGGCTTTCTGACTAGACAGATAGCCTAGCTGAATTTGAACTTCAGGTTCAGTGAGCGATCCATTGAAGAAGACATCCAGTGTTGACCTCTGGCCTCTACATGAACACATGCACCACACAACAACAACGAACCCCTAGATTTTCCATTACTTCAGGAAAAATATGTGCTTTAGAGAACGCAATTTAAAAAATGTTGATGTAAAATGAGACACTGCCATCTTGACTAAACACTGGAAGGGAAATGCTATGCTTTATACATGTCTACGAACAAAGCATATTCCCCTCCATTCGATTAGACATACTTCTGCACTTTTCAGACAACATTGCTGCTAAATCTCAATGATGGATTACAGAGAATGCTTCCTAGGAAAACCTGAGCATAACTGCCATTAAATAGGCATGAAGGGTACTTGAAACATGAACTGTAGAGTCATAAAATAGTTACTAGATAGTAAATCCCCTAGCCTAGGCATACAGCATAAACATTTGCCTTCATATTTTAAATTAAATATATATAGCTGATCAGTTTCCCTAGTGTGTTCACTCCCTTCTTAAAACAAAAGGACATTGTTGAATGGAGAACTTCATCATTAAAGCGTGTCAAAAAAATGCCAAATGTGGGAATAGGTAAACCTTCGGAGTAAATATTAGTAATCATGGGAAGTGAGCATGACTGGCATAAAACTACTTGATTTTGTAAGGATCAGAATCAGCTTTTCTCTGAGTGTATCTCATTCCTGATTTTCTCCTGAAATGATGTCTTAATTGATGCTGGCTTTCTTCCTCATGGAATGTTTTTGGTCTTGTTATCAGAATATTTCCCCACGCTTTAACCATTTTTCATGTGTCCACCTCCTGTTTCATTTTCTCATGTGGGAAGCTAGATGTTTGCTGTTGACTTCTGACTCAGTGGTTGTTTGTGCTTTCCCCAGATGTACTCTGATCATGTAGGTTGGTTTTTGCTCACCACTGTTTCCCTTTCATCCCTGGCTCTTACCATATTCCCTGGAGGCAAATCTTTGGATCTTTCAATGGCTCTGTTTAACAAGTCGAGACAAATGAACTTTCACAATGAGCCTCATGTAAAAGCACTTTCACTCCTTTTTAAAGCTTTGCAACCCTAACTAGTCCAGTAAAAATTAATGCTGTAAATATAAATTTTCAAATATTCACATTTTGGCAATTTGTGTCACAAAGATTATTGGTGTCAAACAATTATATCCCTAGTATTTAAGTAACCTGATTTTTATATAAACTCTCTCTCTCTACACAAACAAATTTTTCTCTCTCTCTCTCTCTCTCCCCACACACACACACACACACACACACACACCTAAAGAAGAGATAAAAAGACTAGGGGTTTTGCTATGACTAAACCTAAAACTTTGGATGGAAAGATGTTAGTAGGAACACCAGTCCTCCTGATGATGATGTGACTCAAAGTGGCTCATTTTAAAGATTGCTGGTACAGGGTGCTCAGTCTTTTCTCTATATCTGCTATTGTCCCAGATCTCTGTCTATGTCATAGATACGTCTATGTCGCAGATTCATCAGGGGTTGCCACAGATACATCAGGGGTTTGTCTGGCTACCTGGGTGTTCTCTGTAGCCACATAGAGCACAAGTTATTAAGTTCACTCTGAAAGCATGTCTGTTTGTGAATGTGATTTATTGCTCTGCTACTAATTAGCTCTCCAACCCCAGAGAAAACACTTAACCTTGCCTGCTCCTCAAATTCCTTCCCAGTCAGATAAAGAGATTTGACCAGATGATCTCAATTGGCTCTTTCTGGTTCTAAATATCTATGACTTGCTGAAAACAAAAGCTGAAGTCTGTGTTGGAGACCAGATGTCCTGTGGTCTGAATTTCCCATCCTCTGACTTCTCATATCCCCACAGCAGTCCAGAGGGAAAATGCCACCCCCTGAAGTTAAAAGGCCCCGAAGTGGCTCCTCTAACATAGATTTTGATGTATCTAAATCCTCTCCAGGGCATGTCATCAGAAGAATCTGGGAAGTCTAGACACAATCGTGGCAGTTCAGTATGTTGACAGAAAGAGTCATTTAAAAAAAAAAAAAAAAGGAGACCAGGAGA